AGTCCAATGCTGATCAGGTTCCAGCAAACCCAGGGCAGGCCTCCAGGTGACCGAATCACTGGCAGCAGTGGCTGTGTCCAAACCTCTCAGCCCACAGGAGCCACAGACAACTTAGAAGGCCAGCAGGAAAGGTCTGTCAAAGGACGCTCTTAGAAAAACCTGGAAACACTTGCATCGACTGATGCAAAGTGAAATGTGCTGTGTACAAAGTAACAGCAATATTGTAAGATGATCAGCTGTGAATGATTTAGCTATTCTCAGCAACACAATGATCTAAAACGACTCTGAAGGACTTACAATGAAAAAATGCTATCCATCCCCAGACAAAAACTGATTACGTCTGAATACAGATTGAAGCATACTTTTTTTTTCTTTCTTTCTTTTTCTTGAGGTTTTTTGTTTTTTTGTTGTTTTTTTTTTTTTTGGTCTGTGTTTTCTTTCACAACATGGCTATTATAGGTATGTTTTGCATGACTACACATGTATAACCTATATCGAACTACTTGCCTTCTCAATGAGGGAGATGGAGAGGGAGGAAAAGGGAGAATTTGGAACTCAAAGTTTTAAAAATAAATGTTGGAAATTGTTTTTACATGTAACTGGGAAAAACAAAACACTAAATAAAAAAAGGTCAGAACAAAAACACTTTTACATTGACAAATATCTTGGTATTCACAGATATCCCCACCCACCCACCCATACCCATACCCACACCCATACGCATACCCACACCCATACCCATACCCATACCCATACCCACACCCACACCCACTCCCATACCCACACACACGTCTGAGTCTTTGCACAGGTGATCCTCATGTCTGGAATGCTCTCCCTTCTCACTTCCACCTATGTAAAAATCCCTATTTTCCTTTTAGGGTTCTCAAGTGCCACTTTCTACATCAGGCCTTTTCTGATCCCTCAAGCTGTCAATGTCTCCCTCTTAAGAAATTATGTTATATACTGCTAAATTCTGTTTTCTATGTGCTTAGAAGTTCCCTGGAAGAATGCTGGTTCCTTGAGGTTAGTTTTGTATCCCTAGCTCTTAGTAAGAGGCTCAACACATTATAGGAGCTTATAAATGCTTGTGAAATTGAATTCAAATGTATTAATATCCTCTAATACCAATTGCTTAATGAACTGACAGAGAGAGGAGTAGGCTTCTATTTACTCGGCCACTCTTGTCTGGCAGGGTTTAATTTGTGTAAACTTACGCATCTTATTTTTTTCCTCCAAAGCCTCTGGTTCTCATTTGGATGGGAACTGCCAGATGACATTTGACCTCAAGCCTGGCCTCCATGCTAATTTCTAATTATGATTCCTCTGGGCCTCCCTCTCATGAACTAGGCCACCAGAGGAAAATTCCTTGGCTTCCTCAGACCTAAGTCTGGATTAAGAGTAGAATGATGGTGGAGTTACTTGAAGCCCTAATGAAATGATAAAAAGTTGGGGGGTCGAGACGGTCCAGGACACAAACATCAGCTCCAAAGAGAATCAAGACCTCCCAAATTTCCTATGGCGAACAATCACCATGATCCCCTAACTTCTGCACAGAGAGCAATTATTATAGTTTGTGCCTCCCCTGAAGCAGAGCCAGGACTGAGCAAAATTAATAAAGAAAGCAAATTTATCATCTGACTTTGCAATTGTCAGACTACCATTTTATTCCAAACACAGAGGGCTTAGTGCACAGGCATCTGTCCTATCTCTGGCTATGTTAATTACCTACAAATAGCATCAAGTCATAGCAGTGTTAATACTGAAGAAAAAATATTCCCAAACTGGCAGTGATTTCCTCTTTTATGACTCAGTCCAAGGGTCCACAACCAATAACCAAAATCATTATAAAAAATTGCCAACCTGTATATAGGGTTTTAAGGTTTTCAATGTTCTTGATATATCACAATAGCAATGTAGATCCAAATGGCCAAATTTATATCTCAGTAGAGTTCTGGACTTCAAGTCAGATGTAACTGGCTTTGAATCCTTCCACAAATAGTTACCAGCTCTGCGACCCTAACCAAGGCAATTAACCTTTCCAGGCTTCAGTTTCCTCCTCTGTAAGCAGAATGGGGTTCACTCAATGACCTCATTTTTCTCATGTATAAATAAAGGGGACAGACTTAACAGACCTCTAACCTTCCTTCTGGCTCAGAATCCATGAGTCAATGACCTCATTTGATCCTATAGCAGGTATAGCAAACTCACTATGTGCCATGGATGCCAGGTTCTTAGGCACTGTTAAAACCCCCTCTTCCAGCTGCTTGTATGTTTAGTTCCTTAACACAGAGAATTTCCCTTCTCTCTTCCACCTCCCCCTCCTTGAATTCTCCGCAGCCTTTCTAATCCACTGTTAATTTATCCTATTCCTCATTTTAAATACGGAAAAACAAGTCAGGAACAGAGTCAAAAACAGGGATTTTAGCTTCTAGAGCAAAGGGGAGAACAAGGTCCATGCAGCAGGAGAGGCTTGATAAAGGAGGCCTAGGTGGAGACTTCAATGGATATTTGGTTCACCCAAGGACATGATCATGTTCCTTTAAATTTTGGCTTCTTGAGATAAAGCCCTAGTCATACAACCCTAGCTATGAATCTGGTTAGGTTCATTTCTGAAAGGTTATCCATTCCTCACCCAGTCTCTATTCACAGTACCATGAATCCTTCCACTAATCAACAGGAACTAGGCTGTATTCGATTCATCATTGCACAGCAAACGGAATGATAAATAGCATGACATCATAAACCGAATTCGAACTTTTCTTTTGAAATTAACTAGCCAGGTAATAGGAGCAAATCAGATAAACTTTCTCACCCTCAGTTGCTTCCTCTCTGAAATGGGGATATTGAGAACTAGAGTACTTACCAAGTGATTGTTAAGTTACTCTGAGGCTCAAAGGAAATAATGCATGTAGAATATTTTGCAAATGATAAAATACTTTCCCAGTTAATCAACCAATACACATTAAAACACTTACTATGTATCAGACTCTATGAGAAAAAAATGTCAGCTATTACGATTATGAATAGTAATTAATAATAAATATGGAATGTCAATTCTCTCCACTTCTCCCCACTATTTATTAAAATCAATCATAGAAAAGGAAAGGACTTCAGAGGTTGCCTCAGACAGTATTCCCCCTGGCAATATCCCTTCCAAGTAATTAGCCCAGCATCATTTGCAGACCTCCAACAAGAGGGAACTCATCACTTCCAAAGTTCTTTCTAGCTATTCAAACATGAACCAAACTTTCCCAAGGTTGGGGGAGAGGCGGGAGGGAAGAGGTTGTGCAGAAGCTATTTAAGACCCTGTCCCAGCATTATTTCAAGCTTAGCTCTACTGAGATATAAATTTGACCATTTAGAGTGCTTTTTGGAATAACAAACCAGAACAGTGCATGACCAGACTCGGATTAAAGGAAACCCCCAGAGAGTCTCCTTCTGCCTCTTAGGTTGCTTAGCTTCTTTCAAAGCACAAATAAGAAGCCACCCGCCAATGAAAGCTTTCCTAATCCCCCCTCCCAGGAATTCTCTTCCACTTTGAAATTAGTTTGTACATATTTTGCTTTAAAATACAAATAAAAAGAGGCAGCAGGGCATAGTGCATAGAGAATAACACTTCAAGTCAGGAAGATCTGGGTTCAAATCCCTCTTCTGACACAAACTGGTTGTATGTGTGAGGGCCTTAATATTCCACTGCCCCTGGTTAGTGTATAAGACTACAAATGCAAGTAATGGGTAAATGGGGTAAAGGGAGTTCCTTCAACCAATGGAATCTTAAGCCCTGTCCAGAACAAAACAATGTAAATGTCACATGTTCTTGTTGTTCAGTTGTTCCAGTCACTTCTGACTCTTTGCAACTCTTGGCAAGGACGGTGGAGCTGTTTGCCATTTCCTTCTCTAGCTTATTATGCAGATGAAGAAACTGAGGCAAACAGGGTTAAGTGACTTGCCCAGGGTCACACAGCTAGTAAGCGCCTGAGGCCAGATTTGAACTCAAGAAGATGAGTCTTCCCAATTCTAAGCCAGTGCTCTAACCACTGCATCACTTTGTTGCCACATCTGCTCAGTCAAATACAAATGTCTAAAATGTAGAGACAGTTTTATTTTTGTCTTTATACTCCCAGTATGTGGGAGAAGTACTACCCAGACATCACTCTCAGATTGTTAGTTGGAGAGTAGATGTTGACCTGTATTGGTAGAGGCCATAGGAGAGTGTCATCTTTGAGGTCACAGTTCAAAACCATAAATATTACAATATAATATGTATGTATATATGTATTTGTGTGTATATGTACACACATATACATATGTGTATCCTATATCTATTACATATGGATGTATATCCTTCATCTATACATAGTAGATATAAGATACATATCCTATAGGTACATACATACACAACAAAGCAAGGCATATAGTAGGCATTTATAAATGCTTGGCAAATTGAATTGGGTTTAGAAAGCATATTAATGGAAACAAGTTTGTTCTTAAATGTTCCCAACTCTAATTAAACAATATAGACACATGTGCACATGTATGCACACATATACAATGCAAACACACACATGAGCATATGGGTACACATAACATATGCATGCATGTGTGTGCATGTGTGCATGCATGTGTGTCTGTCTTGTGTTTGTCTATCTACATATGGTACATAGAGGATTCGTATTTATATGCACATTTATACACATATAGAATATGTATTTTATGTGCACATTATGTACACAACTAGCACAGTATATTAGACATTTATAAATATTTTTTAAATTGGATTTAGAAAACATTATCAATGGAAACATGTTTGCCCTTAAATGTCCCCAACTCTCATTAGCTTAACAGGAAAATTATGGTCCCTTTTATGTTATAAATGTAGTTACAATCTCACTGAATGACTTTGATGGTTCATTTGCTCCAGGAAAATACGTGCACCAGGAATAAGGAAAACAAAAACAAAAACAAAATGAAAAATAAAAGAGACAAACAGATAAACTCACCTTGAAAATCAAGTCCTTTTTCCCATAACGCAGCTCCTTCAATTGGGCTTGGATCTTTTTGGACTGCAAGAGCAAAATAATAGATTTGTTCCTTGAATCACATACATTTTAGAACACACAAGAAAAAATACAATCATCTCAAACAGTAGTTTCCCAGTAAATGAGATGCCAAAATTAAACTAAGTTTAAAAAAAAAAGTTGAGGCCAGATTTGGGTAGGGACAATCATATAACATGACAAGGAGAGAGATCTCTCAGATGAATTAAAAATGCACAGAAACACTACTTCAGCTGCAATGGTAGAATCCCCAGAGATACAGTACAGCTCAAATGCCACCTCCCCCTAGTGACCCTTCCTTAGTCCTTTTGCTTATAACACTCTCTCCCTTTTGAAATAACTTTTCATTGTGTTTATAATTTATATTTATTTACTTATGTCCCTGTTTCATGTCTCCAGGAACAACTAAACTCCTCCAGGGAAAGAAAGGATCTCGATCTCGATCTCGATCTCTCTCTCCTCTCTCTCTCTCTCTGTCTCTGTCTCTGTCTCTCTTTCTCTCTCCCTCCCTTCCTCTGATTTGTTGGGTTGAATTGAATAATTATAGGACTGCCATTATTTCCCTATGCTAGATATAACTAAGTCTGATTTAGATCAATACTCTTAAGAAAGTTGCTTGATGTCTTGCTTTTTAATTTTTTTTTAATTTAGGAGATAGAATTTAAAGTAAGCATTTGTAATTTTTAAAAATAGCTGTTTGGTATTGTGTATGTGTGTGTGTGTGTGAATGTGTGTGCGGATAACATATTTACAATTTTTATGTTATTTGATCCTCACAACAACACTGGGAGATAGGTGCAATTATTACCCCATTTTATAGATGAGGAAACTGAGGCAGTTAGGGACAAAGTGACTTGCCCAGAGTCATACACAGCTAGTAAGTATGAGATCACATTGGAACTGGGTACTTCCTGACCCCAGTCCAAGCATTATATCGAGTACAGTACCTAGCCAATAGTACCTATGAGAAGGCACGCCATGGAGATAAATTGAGAAGTATTTATCACTGGAAGATGCTGAATCATAGAAAGTTTGAAGACAGAGTTAGCTAAAAAACCTCTGCAAGACACTAAGCAACTTAATAGGGAAATCACATCAGAAGGGATGATTGGCCATCTCTTGAGTCAAGGTGATTATGGAATATATACATGTATGTGTATGTGAATGAATAATGCAAAAGGGAAGAAATTGAGGGAAAAAAACATAATTACATTAATGCATAGCTGATTTCATAATTACGTTAATGCATAATTGATTTAAGTAAAGATAAGAAACTTGTGTAATTTAATACCTTAACTCCCTAGCAGCTGCATAATTTTATGGGCAAGAAATGGCAGTTGATAGAGAAGCCTGGACTTTCAGCCAGAAAGACCTGAGTTCAAACCACACAGTAGATGATTATAATCTTTATGACTTTGTAGAGGTAATTTCATCTCTCTGGGAATATGTTTCATCATCAGTAAAATTATGGGGTTAGGTTAGATGTTCTCCAAGGCTCCTTATTTTTCTAAACCAAGGACTCCCAAATCCTAGAATGATGATTAATTTAAGAAGTCCACTGACTTCTCCTAAATAGCAGATGAGTCTACAATAGCTTAAATTTTCAACTCATAAAGACAATGCAATCTGTCTTGTAGGAGTGATAGTACCTGCCACAGGGAGCTCATGAAGATAAAACGAGATGTTTGTTGAACGAATTCTGGATGTAGAAAGTGCTATACAAATGTGCCTTGTTGCTATTACTATGGGGGAGGGGGCAGAAGGGTGGAGTTATAGTCAGACTCTGGAGATTTGCTACCTGTGTGACCCAAGGTGTCAGCTTGGCACAGTGGAAAGACCATTGACTCTGCAGTGGACTTTGAAACCAGGTGCTCTAGTTAGCTCCGGGATTCAAATACCACTTCAGATATGTTACTATTTATGAAAACTTACATAAGACACTCAAGCTCCATGGGCCTCAGTTTCTTCACCTGTAAAATGATTACTGAACTAAAGGGTTTCTTTAGCTCGATTAGTTCAGATCTCTTGAGGTCCTTTCTATATAACAGGCTATTCCTATGTCACTTCTCTCTGATTCTCAGTTTTCTAATCTGTGACTCAATGACATCCTTTCTAGCTCTAAAACTCTATGATCCCAAGATACTAAAAACAATGCAACTTGCAGGGGTTATGGACGTATAGCAATTACTTTGCAATTATTTCACTGGCTAAAAGATGCCAATAGGGTATAAAACAGAAAGCACCATCACTGATTTACTACTCAGAGGCTTAGATATCATGAAATGGAGTGCCCCAGAAAAATGTCTATCTGTATTTTCAAAACTATGAATTATGATGCACCAGGAGATTCTCCAAAACCCAGGAAAGAATGGAGGCCCTAGGCACACTCATGACTATTTGGAATAAGTCAATTCAGTTCTACCTCTCAGAAAGCTAGTAATTGCTGTTTCTAACAAATTAGTTAAAATGCTTTGCAATTTCCATGAGTACGATTTTTCTATTTTCCTTGAAATAACTGGCAATATGAAAGCCTTTCCCAGTGAAGGGGCACAGACGCACAAATATATATGCACTCAGATTTAAAGATCCTTCTATAGAAAGTCCTATTCCTCTCTTTTTACAAGACCAAATGAAAACTCCAGAGAAACTACTGGCAAGTGAGTGTTCAGAGGGAGGTATGAGACAGAATGTTTTGTTGTTACATTAATTTTATCTCTGGGTCAATTCCTGGTCTGCATGTTTATTACAACACCAATTCTAGAGCTTACAACAACCAGGGCTATTCTTGTCACCCGTTGCCAGCTCGAGAAAGACAATTTGCAATCTCTCCCTGCTGTTTCAATATGCTGCTCAGGATTCCTTTGGTGCCAGCACAGTCTCTTAAGTAAACATGAATTTCTGTAGTTTCCACTTGGCTTAAAAATGTATACAGTAGCACCTTATGTATTCAGAATCATTGGGGAAATGAGATGTTGCACAGAAATGAATTTTCTAATGGAAACCTATCAATTTAAATGCCAAAATGTTGTTTACTTATGAGAAGCACTGTGAGAAAGTTATTAAAGTACTACCTAGAATTGGAAGACTTGGGTTCAGATCCCACTTTGGACACTTATTATCTTTGTGACCTCTTAGTTTCAGTTTTCTCATTTTAAAATATGGATTATAGTAACAGGGTTGTTGTGAGTAACAAATAAGATTACAAGTGTAAAATGCTTTGTAAACCTTAAAGTATGGTATATAAATATTAGCTATTATTGTTATTAAACTTATTAGCCAATGTTAATAACTAATAGTATTATTATTATGAAATATAGTATGGCATTGTAGATAGAGCAATGGACTTGCAATCAGGGAGAACTAGGTTAAAATCTCAAAACAGACACTAACTAGCTGCATGATCCTGAGTAAGAAATTTAAACTCTTTGAGCCACTAGCTCAATTTCCTCATACTAAGAAAGAGGATTACAAATACTTGTACTTTTCCTATTTTTCGAAAAAATTTAGATAGAAAAAGTCCTGGGACAAGCAACTATTCTGATGTTCTATGTTCCATATATTACTGTAAAAGAAGAAAAAACAACTGCTTTTTCTACCTTCATAAAAGTATTGGGGAGTAGTTTATTATTATTGCGTGTTGCTGTTCAATCATTTCAGTCATGTCAGATACCTCATGACCCAATTTGGGATTTTCTTGGCAAAGATATTGGAGTGGTTTTCCAACCTTCTCTAGTTTATTTTACATATGAGGAAAATGAGGCAACAAGATTGAATGATTTGCCCAGAGTCACACAACTAGTAAGAATCTGAGGCCACATTTGAACTCCGGTCTTCCTGACTCTAGGTCCAATGTTCTATTCACTGCACCACCTAAATGCACTATGCTTATTATTATGAGTAACTATTATTACTATTTTGACTGAAACCTTTCCAAAACAATGCACACATATATAAAAATATGTACATGTTTACTTTTAAAAATACTGAGGATATTATGTATCACTTAACCTTTGCTTGATAAGTCACGTGGAGCATCGTCATAGGTATAGACTACTAGGCCATCATGGGCCGTTGAGTTTTCATTTATTCATTTTCAGTCATGTCTGACTCTTCGTGACCTCATTTGAAGTTTTCTTGGCAAAGATATAGGTAGGAGTGGTTTGCCATTTCTTTCACTAGCTCAACTTACAGACGAGAAAAACTGAGGCAAATAGAGTGAGGTGACTTGTCCAGGGTCACTCAACTAGCAAGTTTCTGAGGCCAGATTTGAACTGAGGAAGATGAGTCTTCCTGATTCCGGGCCTGACACTCTATCCACTATGCCACCTAGCTGCCCCACTTGAATATATTTGTCTCTACACAGAATGGATACATAAATTTGTGTGTGCATGTGTTTGTGTAATCTTTCTGTCAATTTGGCAAACACATTTTCATTCTTCTTCCAGTTTTCAGGCTATGATTTCTCACCACTTCAATCCTTTCTAATTTGATGTTCATATTTTTCTAAAGGGCTCTGATACCACACTGTTGATCTTGTGGAAACTGCATTTTAAATAAGAATTAGTACGTTCTAAGGACTGAAAGGCAGCCTTTCTAAATGAAGTTTATCATCTTTGGAGCATGATTTTTGGGATGACCATTTTGGCTTCCCAGAGGCCTTTGGTATTAGGCCTTCTTTCAGATCCTCACCTGCATTTTGGACAGTTGGCCTGGATAGGTAACCAAGAGAAAAGTAAGTTATTACCCTTTTAGCATTTGTATATGAATTCTAAGTGTGTTCAAATTCAGCATGAGATTCTTATGTTATATTTTGTAATATACTCATAAGAGAGAGAAAGACAAAGAGAGACAGAGACATAGAGAAAGTCAGAGAGACAAAGATATGGAGAATGATTCTGCTAGGGACACCCACAAGACAGATGAGATCTATAGTACTGATGCTGTATTGGAGGCAAATAACTGTATTCCATGCATTGTTAAATTTTTGCTTAAGCCTAAAACCTTCA